TTTGGTTTTTTCGAGACAGGGTTTCTCTGCATAGCTTTGCGCCTTTCCTGGAACTCACTTGGTAGCCCAGGCTGGCCTCGAACTCGCAGAGATCCGCCTGCCTCTGCCTCCCGAGTGCTGGGATTAAAGGCGTGCGCCACCACCGCCCGGCTGAATGTGAGAAATCCTTAAAGCAAGGTTTTAAGAATGTTGCTCATAATGTTGAACATCTGTTAAAGAATAAAAGGGAATAGTTGCCTCAAAACTATTTTCATGAGGCGTTGTAAACTTTTTTTTAAAGATACAAAACAGTATAAAGTACTTACTGTTATTTTATTCTGAATTTGTTTAAAATCACCATGATTTTGACTGCTGCTGATTCTTAAGCAGGTTAATTTATGTTTTAAGGTAAAATGCAGTTTACACTTTCTTAAAACATAAATGTGGGTTTCTATATTAAACATATTTTGTGACTACTAATATTAACAGATTGATTTGTTTAGATATTAAATGCTTTAAGCTATTTTACCTTTTCAAGAAGTTGTGTTTTTTTTCCCCCTGCCTTGGAATCAACCCAGTCTGACTTCTCCCTGCTATTTATAGTAAAGTACAAAAGCAAGTAGTTTTCATAGTGATACACATTTTTATGGGCAGGGAATTAGAGCTTCTATTAGAACCAGGTGGTTTTGTATTTGCAGATTTCAGAAGAATGTGGAGAAGACTAGAGAGCCATGGTCAGTTCTTAATGATTGTAGTCATGTGAATTGCATCTGTTGGTAATGAAGTAGACTTGTCTTAGGTGATTTTACTAATCTGGTGTGCTTGATTTTTTTTTTTTAAAGTCTGGTCTAAGGTTGATGATCTTGTTGGCTTTGGCTTTCTAGGTGTTGCACACTGGACAGTAATGGTGATAATGTATAGAAAAGAAAGGGGGTCTCAGAGTTTACTAGTTGTACTGGAATTGGAGGGTTGAAAATAAGCACAATTTAAGTGTGTAAAAATTACTTTGTAGTTTAGGAATAATAAAGATGCTTAGTTTCCTGTGCTTGAACTGAAATAATCAGGGACATTTGTATTTTGCCAGATAACCTTTTAAAATTGTTTTTTGGGGATGGCTCATTGGATACCAGAGCAAAATCTATATTCTGTAAGTGGGCTATCTTTATATATTGTGGGAGAGCAATAACATAAGTAAATTGTAAAAACACCTTCAAGTTTCTTCTGTGCTGTATTTTGTGAACCAATGCTTACCAGAAAAGTGAGCCAAATATTAGAATAAATACATGTCTGAAATACATCTGATTAGATGATTGGGTAATTTCCTAAAATGGCTTGTTTTAAGCAAATTTATAAAGGCTATTCTATTGAAAATCTTTTAAATTGCAATCAGCTTTAGATGTGGAAGAGTCTGTGTTCTAATAGGCCTATAATTCCAACTACTTGAGGCTGAGTCAGGAAGAGTGAGGTTAAAGGCCTTGGAGCTTTACAGAGCAGTGTGTGGCCATCTGAAAAGAAAAAGTCCAGGGATCCTGAGATTAAGTGCAGTGATAGAGTTGGTTGCGGAGGCGCACACCTTTAATCCCAGCACTCAGGAGGCAGAGGCAGGCGGCTCTGAGCCTGGTCCACAGAGTGAGTACTAGGGCTACACAGAGAAAACTGCCTAGAAGCTCCAAAAAAGGTAGGTGATAGAATGCTTCCTTAGCATGCAAAGAAACCCTAAGTTGAATTTCAGGTACCTCCACAAAACAAGAACAAAACCCAATATATTTTCTTGGTTTTTGAGAAAGTAGGTATATTAATTAATTATATAGTCTTGGCTGGTCTTGAACTTGCAAAGTATTCCATTCTCTGCTTCCTTAGTGCTGGGGTTGCAGATGTGTGGCCACTCTCACATGGTTATTTATTTACAACGGCTGTATGCTCTTAGTAAAAACTGAAAGATCCCTGTGGCTGCGGAGGTGGCTCGGTGAGTAGAGGACTTGCTGCTTCCATGGAAACACTGGGCTGGGTGGCAATGCTGGCCCGGTGTCTTGAGTGCAGCACTCGGGAAGCAGAGATGGTTCCCAGGATGCTGCAAGCTCAGCCAGAGACCCCGCAGCCTCAGTTTAGAGGGTGGAGAGCAATTGCGGAAAACGCCTGAGGTCAACTTGACTTCCACACACACCTTCATGTGTAAACATCCACATGGAAAAAAGAAGATTCAAGACCTGTTTAAAACTTGTAGCTTCCCAGTACAGCTGAACAAATTGCCAAAGGTAGATGATCGTTACAATGCTGTTGCAATTCATATAGTCTTTAACAAATATAACCTGTTTTGGCTTAGAATGGGAAATGGCCTTAGGTGTTTTGCATGGGGTGGGGTGGGGAGATGGTAGTGGAACCTCTAAAAGATGGAGCCGTCCTGGAGGACATGAGTCATTGGCGGTGAGCCTTGAAGTTGAATATCTCGGCCCCATTTTCTTTAAGACAGGCTCTTACTCTGTAAGAGTAACACTAGGTGACTTGGGATTTGATATATCGACCAGGCTGGCTTCTCTTCATGTCCTGTTTTCATCCTGGTTAGTGTAACCTGCTGTCCCATGCCCTTGCCACCATGCTTTCCCTGCCTGGATTGGCTTTGTCCCCTTGAGCCATAAGCCAAAATAAACACTGTTGTGCCCGCGCAGCTGGAGCCCGAAATCTGTCGAGGGACGCCAAGGTTAAACAGCACTCTAGACACCCAGTTTCAGTTCGTCAGGGAAGCAGCTCTCTTTATTAGTACCAACATGGGCTTATATACCCCTCTAACAGCAGGGGTCAAGGAATGATTACTGTGTATCTGTAGGCAAGCCAGACACTGTTTTCCAAACAGGAAAAACCCCAGGGTAACTGATCCCCAGCACCCTCCGGAACCCAACTGCACATTTTCCACACAACTTAACTGTGACAGGACAAAAAAAGGGCATTTAAAATTAAGGCAGCAAACTTACTGCTGCCGACAAAACACTCCAGTTGTTTCTTGTTAGATATTTGGTCATGGTAATAAGAAAGATGGCTGATATTACACCTGAATGGCCAAATTTAGAATTATTGCAAAGATCCTAAAAAAGTTAAAGAGTAAGGTGATGACACATTTCACTCCAGGTTCTGGAACTTTAAAAGAATTACTTTCAAAGTCTCCTTTTGTTTCAAAGTCTAAGTGATAAGTAATTTATAAATTAATTTGGTGTTTACTTGACATTCAAGTACAAAGTGCATTGACCAGAGGGTATCTTACATATCTTTAGTTTTGATGGACTTGCAAATGTCACTGAAGATGGCATTTATCATTTGTAAACGTGTAACCTGCCCCATAGTGCCACCTCTTGAGTGCCCATTGAAGTTATGTTCCTCTGTTGCAAACTAAAATAGCTGTAATTGTTTATTGCATTTTACTTTGTGTGTGTGCCATAGTAAGTGTGCAGGTTGTGTGAATCTGTCTTCTGCCATGTGGGTCCCAGGGATAGATCTCGGCTCATCAGACTTGGTGGCACACACCTTTAGTCACTGAACCTTGTCAGCCCCATACAATAACCCAAACAGCAAAACAGCTTCAAACACTGCTGTTAACATGCATGTATAACTAGACAAAGGTAACATGGCTTTACAAAGGTGATAACTTGAATTCTAAGCCATGTCACTGGAGCAGAGATGACTTACTCATCCCTTGAAGTTGACAGTAGATCATTCAAACACATCCTATCTGCATGTCACGATTGTAATTTCATTTGACACCACATGGCTGGGTGTGGGTAGGTTGTAGTAATGTTAGCTGCTGAGAGAGGCAAGCACATTTAGGGGCTAACTACTGTTTTGTTTTTTAAGACAAGATCTTGCTATGTAGCTCTGGCTAGTCTAGTACTCTGTAACCTATACTGGCCTCAAACTGTGTCCCTCAGGGCTCAGCCTCCAGAGTGTTTGATTTATAGGTGTGTTCATGTACCCTTGAAGTTTATTTTTAGTTAAAACTTGTAAACTGCAAGCTGAGTGTGCACAGAGACCACCCTGTCTTCCCCCTTACTCCTTTAAAATGTGCTCCATGGTCTTGAGGTGAGCACCACCGCGTCCCGCCGCTCTGCTGTCTTTGACTTTGTACTCTCCACGGTTGGACCTATTGCATCAGATTATAGTGGATATAGTTCAAAGTTCTCATTGCTTCAAGGGTAGCTCTCCCGAGTGAAGCCTTAACCACAGAAAGATGTGTGTTAGGCAGGCCGAAATAGATAGAGAATGCTCAGTGTCAAAGTATGGCTGCAGAGACTTCCAACCGGTGTTTGCCTTATCGCACACTTACAAAGAGGACCACGAAAGCCCTCCACCTACTCCAGGTTTGAGTTTCTCTCCTGTTTCACGTTCTTCCCAAGTCCCCCAATTACACTCGCAAAAGAAAGCTGATGAAAAACTTGCCCCACAGCAGAGCTTCCCCTGCTTCCTGTCACCCCAACTTTGCTGGCTAAGCTGCCTGGGCGGCAGCCTTTGTTTCAGATGCCTGCCGATGAAGACGTGGTTAAGTGCTGCAGAAAGGTGGCCAGTGCTACCTGACAGCCCACACGGGCTCCCTTAGTGCCTTCCGTACGCTAAATTTTCACCCATCATTGCCTTTCTGGAGAAGCTGTTCCTACTGAAATGACATGTTTAGAATCCCATAGTTAGATGGCAATCCCATACAGAGCACACTCCTTTAAATCTGGTTATTTGTGAAGTGAGCAAGTCATTCAATCCTCCCTATTACACCCTTACTGAAAAGTTA